AAAGAGCTGTATTTTTTTTTTTCCATCTGTACAGGACACAGCTTCCCCTTGCTGCGAGGGAGACCACAGAGTGGATATTGTTGTCCAGTGTGCGCCATCACTGCTGCAGAATAGTGGCCTGAGCGGAACCTGGAGTACTGAGTCCAGGTGTGACTACAGCAGGGGTGTCCAAACTATGGCCCTCCAGGTGTAGAGGAACTGCAAGTCCCATGAGGCCTTGCAAGACTCTGCCTCTAGGAGTCTTTCCTGTGGATGTCAGAGGCATGATGGGACTTATAGAGCTTTAACAGCTGGAGGGCCATAGTTTGGACAGCCCTGGCCTACAGGAAGAAGGGTCAGCCGCACACCGGAGGACAGACGAATACAGTGTGTATTCATTGATCCATAGGACACACAACACCTGGAAATGAATACAGGACCTGTTAACGCGTTTCACACGATCTCGTGCTTACTCAGCCAATGTCACCTGGGTGCAGAGCAGAGAGTGGACTGATTGGTGTGTGTGATCGGATGGTGAGCTGCAATATTGCTGAGCCTGGTGAGCTGCTGTTGTGGGGATTTACTATCTGCTGTAAAAGAGACTGAGACCTCTAGGAACTGACCATACAGCAATCTAGCAGTCCTCTTGCTGCCTGCAGGCTAAGCTGGGACTATTCTCATGTGCACCACCGGTACAACTGGGTCCTAACGCTAGCCACCTGAAAAAGATCATCTATAACTACTACAATTCCAAAGGTACAAAGTCTTGTTAAGGGTTAATAGGGTGGTGCTACACCAAAGACAACAACTTTCCAAAAACAAATTTGGATTAGGATTCGTTGGGGGAAGGGGGTATGTAAATAGTAAACGTGTATAGCCAAATAGTAGGTTTGTACAGAGGGGTGGTAGCCGAGAGAAAACAAAGGGAAGGATAAAGGAGCTTCATCGCAGTCCAATTGGCATCTTACTATGCAACCCAGCTACACTGCTAGGTATGCACCAAGCAGGGGCAGACTGACCATTCAGGCCCTTGGGCACTGTCCAAGGGCCCATAGCCAGTAGGAGGCCCCATGAGAGGCTCTTGGTTTCTCTATTGGGTCGCCGGCAGCCATGCGCAGTCTGGTGGAACAATAGAGAGCTGGCCATTGACCCTGCAGTACCCAGTCTGTCTCTCTCACCACCGCTACCAGCTCAAACTCTCTCCCGTGGAATGTGACATGTCCAGGTCCTGTCCATATGGAATTGGCAGTCATGTAAACAGCAGTGGGAGGTATTTTTCGCATTGAACATAGAGCCGGGCTCACAAGGAGAAAGCTGCTGGACTCACATGATAGGTGGCTGTGTGAGGGTTGTAGGAAGGCTGCTGCCTGAGGGGGGGGGGGCATCTGCTGTTGCTGCTGCTCTGGGGAAATGGAGAGCTGCACCCAGGAGGAGCTGGTGAGAGGGCATCACCCAACCCCCATCCCACCCTGTGTATACCCAGCTTGCATCTGTCACCACCCATCACACGACTCTCTTGTGTACAGTCACACCTGATACCCTGCAAACTCATGAACACTCCATTATATCCCCCATACCCTGTATACACTCATCATACCCTGCACACACCCATTACACCTGACACCCTGCAGACCAATGTACAGCCAATCATACCCTGCATACACCCCAATACACCCCTTCATACCCTGCATACACCCCTTCATACCCCTCAATATACCCCTTCATACCCCTCAATATACCCCTTCATACTCTGCATACACCCCAATATACCCCTTCATATCCCTCAATATACCCCTGCATACACCCCAGTCTACCCCTTCATACCTTGCATACACCCCAATACACCCCTTCATATCCCTCAATATACCCCTTCATACCCTGCATACACCCCATTCTACCCCTTCATACACCCCAATACACCCCTTCATATCCCTCAATATACCCCTTCATACCCTGCATAAACCCCATTCTACCCCTTCATACACCCCTTCATATGCCTCATTATAACCCTTCATACCCTGCATACGCTCCTTTATACTCCTTCATACATGCATACACCCCATTCTACCCCTTCATACCCTGCAGACACCCCATTATACTCCTTCATACCCTGAATACAGCTCATTATATACCTTCCCTTCATACCCTGCAGACACCCCATTATACTCCTTCATACCCTGCATACACCCCATTGTACCCCTTCATACCCTGCACATGCCCCTTTATACTCCTTCATACCCTGCATAAAACCTCATTATACCCCTTCATACCCTGCATATGCCTCTTTATACCCCTTCATACCCTGCATACGCCCCATTATAACGCTTCATACCCTGCATACGCCCCTTTATACTCCTTCATACCCTGCATACGCCCCTTTATACTCCTTCATACCCTGCATACACCCCATTATACTCCTTCATACCCTGCATACACCCCATTATACCCCTTCATACCCTGCACATGCCCCTTTATACTCCTTCATACCCTGCATAAAACCTCATTATACCCCTTCATACCCTGCATATGCCTCTTTATACCCCTTCATACCCTGCATACGCCCCATTATAACGCTTCATACCCTGCATACGCCCCTTTATACTCCTTCATACCCTGCATACACCCCATTATACCCCTTCATACCCTGCATACACCCCATTATACTCCTTCATAGCCTGCATACACCCCATTATACCCCTTCATACCCTGCATACACCCCATTATACTCCTTCATACCCTGCATACACCCCATTGTAACCCTTCATACCCTGCATACACCCCATTATACTCCTTCATACCCTGCATACACCCCATTGTAACCCTTCATACCCTGCATACACCCCATTATACTCCTTCAAACACTGCATATGCCTCATTATAACCCTTCATACCCTGCACATACCCCATTATACTCCTTCATACGCCTTATTATAATCCTTCATACCCTGCATATGCCCCTCTATAGTTCATACCCTGCTTAAAACCTCATTATACCCCTTCATACCCTGCATATGCCCCTTTATACTCCTTCATACTTTGCATACACCTCATTATAACCCTACCCTTCATATACCTCTTTATACTCCTTCATACCCTGCATACACCTCATTATACTCTATGCATACACCTCATTATACCACTTCATATCCTGTATACACCTCATTATACCCTATTCATACCCTGCATACATCTAATTATACCACTTCATACCCTGCATACACCTCATTATGCACCTCTGGTGTACCTGACCACTCTCTTCCCTATCTAGCCCAGGGGGTGTAGAAGTACTCCATGCTCTCCTATTAGCTTAGTGGGTTGGTGGCTGCCTTCAGACCTTTTGCTGGGCTGGCTCCTTCCCTGCTACATATACTGTCCTCCCCAGGAGATGTTAAAGCAATGGAGATCCTCTTCTCCAGTGACCTACCTATTGGTAGGCTCCCCTTCCTTGGGCTCCCTTTCAGGATCCTCACTCCCGCCTTCCTCAATCCATCTTTCAAAGACACTGCACACCTCCCTTCAGTCTCTGCCACATTTGAGGGTTGCTCTGGTCACCATGCCCAGCCTCCTGCCAGGGGATTGGCCAGAGTCCCTCAAACATGCAGATCTAGGCCTCCTCTCCTCCTCTACCCCTCTTCCAGAAACCTCTCAGGTTTCTGGAAAGGTGGGAGGGCTCCAGAAGCCCTGATCTGATAGAGCCTCCCAGACTGTCCTGAGTTAACCTCACTACTCCACTCCCCAGCATGTGAGTAGATATCTCTGTGTATAGTGTATTTAATAAATGCAGTTTTACACTATGAGAGTCTTCTGTTTATGCATGAACCGGAGAGGAATGTGAATATAGATTATACAGCGCTTGGAAAGATCCTGAGATACACCAGAGTGGTGTCTGTCTCTTAAGGCGTGTTGCCCCTGTATGATCTTTGTAAGGAGGAATCGGAGAGGAAGCTGGCTATAGAGCATACATCGCTGGGGAGGATCCTGTGATATACCAGAGTGGTGTCTGTTCCCTAAAGCGAGTTGACCCTGCAGGGTCTATGTAAGGAGGTGAGGGGCCATTGCAGCTATTTTTGGATATACACAGTGTGGACACTTGACACTTGCATGAAGATTGTGTATGAGATACACTATATATATATGGACCTGTTCACATAAAGTGGAGATTTCTTTATTAGAGTATTTTGTGATATATAGTTTGTTTGGTCACTTGGTCACTTTGAATATTCCCTTTTAGGGAATACACGGATTGCACTTTATTGAATAATATTGATCACTTGGCCACTTTGAATATTCCCTTTTAGGGAATACACGGATTGCACTTTATTGAATAATATTGATCACTTGGCCACTTTGAATATTCCCTTTTAGGGAATACACGGATTGCACTTTATTGAATAATATTGATCACTTGGCCACTTTGAATACACGTGTAACACTTTATTTGCACTGTTGCACGTTTATAAGATATATTGATTGAATATTTATTTATTTATATATATATATATATATATATATATATATATATATATGTATGTTTATTTTAGTATTTAGCGCTGCACTATTTATTTATCTATTTATTTGACTCACATTGGTAGGAGGTTAAGTGTCAGCAGCTATAGGGATAGGGCCTCATTCTGAGCGCAGGAAGTTGTTTCTCAATTTATTATAAATCATTGTTTACTTCCACTGCAGATTCTGGGGTCCAAGGGCCACACAATGTAAACCAGAGGTCCACATGAGGTCCTCATGTAGGCAGGTACAGTCTCTTTTCTTCACTACAGGGGGCGCACAAGTCACAGCGGCCTTGCAGAGGGAGAGGAGGTCAGGAGGTACTTGGGTAACTGGGCAGCAATCTGGTTGGATGTCCCTGTCCCATGTGACTCTGGCAGCCATCTTGGGTCAGCAGAGTCTATTTAGGACCCTGACTCCTGGGCTTGGTACCAGGGGCGGACTGACCATTTGGAAACTCGGGCACTGCCCGAGGGCCCGGGGTCAGCAGGGGCCCCATGGTATGCCCCTGGTACCTTTTTCATAGGCTTTTTTTAGTTTGGGCAAGGACACAGGGGCCCCCATGATCCCTTATTGCCCGGGGGCCCCATGAGTTGTCAGTCCGCCCCTGCTTGGTTCATATATTGCAAATGAGCAGCATAGGGACAGGTCACCCATCTGTCAGTGAAAGGAAATAGTGGTAGGTGAAGGTTTCAGACAAGAAGGGATAGGATAGGAGCCTGCTATCCTTCCTAGGAGGAATCCTTCCCATTGGACTCAGACTGGCCAGCCCACATCCCTCCCTTTGAGATAGACACTGTCAGTGCATCAGGACCTGCTCCACTCTACATCATTGCATAGAACTGTGAATGTTCCTGGCTGGGTGTTTTCTTGCTGGGCTGTTTGTGCCTTTCAGACATTTCTTCAGTGAAAGTTTTGTCAACTGCAACTGGACTCAGTGTAATTACTGCCGCCACACAGCGCTGCACGCACCCACACTTAGATACATGTTTGTAAAGCCAGATGAGTGTTGACCGAGTGTCATTCCCATGGAGCAGAATTCAGAGGATAAGCATTAGACTTGTAAATCTTGTTCCCCTCCCCCTCAAATTTGTTTTCATGAAATTAGTTGAAAAATCCTTTGCTGGAAATAAATTTTTCAACTGTCATTTATTTAAAATTGTTAAAAATTAATTGTTATCTCTGGGAAATTAACATCACGGGGATAAACCACCAAAGTAACTTTTCAGAAAAATATAAAAGGACTTGTCAAAGGCTGATAAGACGTAAGACCAAGGAAATCCTCCGCCACACTGTGGACGGAATTGGAGATCTCCAATATCTTCCTACAAATCTGCTGAATTATCATACAAATGTCCATATTCCCAGGATAAATAAGGAAGGTGAATAGTACTGGAAATAGTCTAAGTGCACAATGACAATAGAAATGTCTCTATAAAATCAAATCAAATACTGGAATAAATGAATGACTTTTGTCTGGCTATTTAAAATGTTGGTATTTTAGCTCTCAATAAAATTGTGAGAATGTTTTTTTCTGAAAAACAGAAATAATACCTCTTTACTAATATTTGTGTCGGTATAATAATAGAAGTAATCAAAGGTCATATACGTATGTAATAATAGAAGCTATACATGGTGTGATGATTTGGGGATTTAATAGCTCATTTTTAGCACCAAATAGTGCATTTTCTCCACGCCAGAGATATATTTTTGGGATTTTTCTGCCCACTTTTATTTAAAACAAGCAAAAGTTCACAAACTTCCCACACAGGGGTTGTCACCCTCAATCAAACATAACAGTATTCAGCCTTGTGGTTCCTTATGAAGCACAGCTCACCCTAGGTTCACATCTGTGTGTGGTGCAGCTGCAGATCCGCAGGAAAATCCATGCAGCCGTACCACCCGCACAGAGAAATGCGGACCCGCAGGTGCATGCCATTAGTTCTAATGGCAAGCTGCCAGCACTGGAAAATGCAACCGTACTGGGAACCGAGGTTCCAGTGTGGGCTGCGTTTTCCAAAGATGTGCAGGGACTTCTTCCCTACGTGTCACGGGCACGGGAGTTCATTCAAATTAATGGGCTCTCGTGCCCGTGCAAAACACGGCCCACACGACCACATAGATGTGAACCGGGGTCAACAAGGTTGGTTCTCTTGACCATCAAACTCCTCCAGTGCTCGTGCACTAACCGCTGTACCTCAGCTCTGTGTCCTTTCTGCAGCGTCCCAGATGTTCTGTCCCTTATGGACTGTCTCTCATACTTAGAGGCTCATGCCTCAAACTGTTCTGGCCTGGACAGGGTGATGTGAGATGCACCTCTTTCATTGCTCTCTTACAGTCACTAATGACCTCGGGAGGGTGGGGGCCCTGAGCTCTGTGGGAGGGTGGAGGCCCTGACCTCTGCGGGAGGGTGGAGGCCCAGACCTCTGCGGGAGGGTGGAGGCCCTGACCTCTGATCCCTGATCCCAGGTCCAATATGAAGAAAGCACACAGAAGCCTCATTAATATGCGTGTGTCCTCCAAAAACTGGCACCTCTTTCATTGCTCTCTTACAGTCACTAACAACTTCAGGAGGGTGGGGGCCCTAAGCTCTGCGGGAGGGTGGGGGCCCTGAGCACTGCAGGAGGGTGGGGGCCCTGAGCTCTGCGGGAGGGTGGGGGCCCTGAGCTCTGCGGGAGGGTGGGGGCCCTGAGCTCTGCGGGAGGGTGGGGGCCCAGACCTCTGCGGGAGGGTGGGGGCCCAGACCTCTGATCCCTGATCCCAGGTCCAATATGAAGAAAGCACACAGAAGCCTCATTAATACGCGTGTGTCCTCCAAAAACTGGCACCTCTTTCATTGCTCTCTTACAGTCACTAACAACTTCAGGAGGGTGGGGGCCCTAAGCTCTGCGGGAGGGTGGGGGCCATGACCTCTGCGGGAGGGTGGAGGCCATGACCTCTGAGGGAGGGTGGAGGCCATGACCTCTGATCCCAGTTCCAATATGAAGGAAGCACACACAAGCCTCATTAATATGCGTGTGTCCTCCAAAATCTGGTCTAAATAGAAAGTTAGCAAAAAAATAAAAAATCAACATAAAATCATGCTGGGAGAGAATGTAAATACTCAGCCATGCTACCTGTCAAATACATAACATAAAAAGTAAACAAACCAGTAAAATACCAAAAAAATCCCAAAATGATATAAAGCAATTAAAAATCAATTTTATGGTAAAATTGATCCTACTTAAAGAGTAGGTCCTTCTTAAAGGGACCACCCCCTCCAAATATAAAATAGATCCCACATATAAACTTCACAAAAAGGTATAAAGAATGGATAATAAGACCAATATACGGAAATCACTTAAATAAATACATACTCTAAAAAAATAGAACAAAAAAAATGTAAAGCAACAAAAAAAAAAAAAAATTTAATGTTCTGGAGAGTGTATAACCACATCTCCAGGGCATTCATCCCAAAGGTTACAATGTTAGCCCCAGAAGTCTATCATTTATCAAATTGAACTGCAGAGAGGGAAAAGAAAATATACCCATGGGTCTAGTTAGTGTCTATAAATCAATTGATATCCCAGTTGGCGTTCAAGCCAAACAGGGCATAGGTCTTAAGCTGATAAATCCAACGTATCTCTAGTTTAGAGATTTCTCGGGTCCTATTGCACCCTCTGCAATGGGGTTTCAATTTATCAATCCCCACACATTGAATTTGGCTTGGGTCTCTATTATAGAACCGCCTAAAATAAGCTGAGAGACTATGGTACTTAAAACCAAGTTTAATGTTGTAAACATGCTTCCTAACACAGTCCCTGAAAAGTCTTGTGGTCCTCTCTACATACTGAATGCCACAAGTACATTGAAGAAGGTAGACTACATAGGTCTACCTTGTGTCTAAAAGAACGTCCTCCTGCGCTCCACAGAGTAGCTAATGAGTGTTCATCTTTGGCGTTTTTTTAAAGCTGTAATAAACGGTGTTGCACTATGGAGGTCTGTTTTTTGTTTATACATGCCCTGTACACCTGAGTCCATATTGCGAGGAGAGTGGTTTGAGAGAATAAATACCCACGAGGGGGACCCTGATAATGTCGGTGGATCCAGAGAAGTGATTGGAGCCAGGTTGAGATCTCTCCCAGGATTAATATACCAGAAAGCTTTGTGGCCCTTAGGGGTCGAATGTAGGAGGTGAGGAGGCACTTTAGGCATTCCAGGGAGGTCACAATAGAGTGTCACCAGGAGCGCCCATTCAGCATGGAATGAATTTTCTTAAGCACTGTGTGTTGATTTGAGCACAAATGATTATTGCACCATCAGATTGTCACATCATTGTGGATTATTATTGTTTTATTTATTTATATTTTGTATATATATATATTTGAGCACTTGTCACTTTGAATTCCCTAGAGGGATACCACTCAATTTTTATATATACAGTTGCAAGAAAAAGTATGTGAACCCCTTGGGATTACGTGGAGTTTTGCATGAATTGGGCATAAAATGTGCTCTGAATGTCATCTAAGTCTCAAAAATAGAAGAACACAGTCGGCTCAACATAATACTACACAAACATTAGATGTTGCCATGGTTTAATTGCACGTAACATGTAAACATTCACAGTGCAGGGAGGAAAAAGTATGTGACTCCCTAGCCTAATGACTTCTCCCAGAGCTAATTAGAGCCAGGAGTGCGCCAACCTTGACTCCAATCAGTGTGATGATATTGGATGTGTTGCTGACAGCTGTCCTGCCCTTAAAAAACACACACCTGTTTTGGGTTTACTGATTTCAAGAAGTACTGTCTGATGTGAACCATGCCTCGCAGAAAAGAGCTCTCAGAAGACCTACGATCAAGAATTGTTGACTTGCATGAAGCTGGAAAGGGTTACAAAAGTATCTCCAAAAGCCTTGATGTTCATGTGTCCACGGTAAGACAGACTGTCTACAAATGGAGAAAGTTTAGCACTGTTGCTACTCTCCCTAGGCGTGGTCGTCCTGTAAAAATGACTGCAAGAGCACAACGCAGAATGCTGCACGAGGTAAAGAAGAATCCCAGAGTGTCAGCTAAAGACCTACAGAAATCTCTCACACATGCTAACATTTTTGTTGACACATCTACAATAAGGAAAACATTAAACAAGAATGGAGTACATGGGAGGACACCACGGAGGAAGCCATTGCTGTCCAAAAAGAAGATTGCAGCACGTGTGAAGTTTGCAAAAGGGCACCTGGATGTTCCACAGCACTACTGGAAAAATATACTGTGGACAGATGAAACCAAGATTGAGTTGTTTGGGAAGAACACACCACACTATGTGTGGAGAAAAAAAGGCACAGCACACCAACATCAAAACCTCATCCCCACTGTAAAACATGGCGGAGGGAGCATCATGGTTTGGGGCTGCTTTGCTGCCTCAGGGCCTGGACGGATTGTTGTCATTGATGGGAAAATGAATTCCAGAGTTTATCAAGACATTTTGCAGGAAAACGTACAACCATCTGTCCGCCAACTGAAGCTCTGCAGAGGATGGGTGATGCAACAGGACAATGACCCAAAGCATACAAGTAATTCAACAAAACAATGGCTGCAACAGCACAGAATACGCCTTCTGGAGTGGCCCAGTCAGAATCCTGACCTCAACCCGATTGAAATCCTGTGGCATGACCTTAAGAGAGCGATTCACACCAGACATCCCAAGAATATTGCTACACTGAAACAGTTTTGTTAAGAGGAGTGGTCCA